TATGTGTAACATTTTTTTTTTTATAAAAAGTCTTAAAATGTAAACAACTTATAAAAAAAAAACATGCTATAATGTAAATAAGTTGTCAATTAACAAAAATGCCAGGTAAAATCTTATAATTCTAAGGTGACTATATATATATATATATATATATATATATATATATATATATATATATATATATATACACGAGAAGCAGTGCGATTTGGCTGCATTCACCTATAGTGCATGCACTGGTGGTGTATGGCCGCCAGTGCTGGTATACATACATTGAATAAAAAAAAAAGGGGCCAGAAGCTATTTCGCTCTTCATATCGGCCTTTGTGTGTTTTCCCAAGTGCTGTCGACTACATACATCCCAGTCAACGACAATATAGGCAAAAGGAAAGGAAAAAGACACTCAAACATCCGTCGCAAAATAAAATGTTACATTATTGAAATAAAAGAATGATACAGAGGAAGCGCGACCATCACACACACTTCTCAGAGCTTGCTGAACTGAACTGAGCCCCTATACATGCGTGCTTACATCTAAAAGGTAAAACAACCACAGAAATTGTCCTCTTAAAGATGATATTTATACACAATGCATATCAAACATTAGACAACTGTTACAATATCCCAATAATTAACCTAGAAAAAAACAGAGCAATCACTCACTTACCAGACTGCTGTTGTGTTTGCGAAAGGAGGGACGAGGCTGAATCCAGCTTTTTATTTGCAGCTTCTTATTGACTCTATCCGGTCCACCTTAAAAACCACAAGACTTCCATTTTTAGCTTTTTATTCGTGCTCAAGAAAGCACACTAAGCAATGGCTTATTATGCGGTCCAGGCACCATCTTGTGGATAGACAACCTCAACCGTCTTTGTCCGCTGACGAGCTCTCTCAGAAATTGTAAATATTTTAAAATAGGCACTATTCTTACAAATAAACTGCATAGTTGCAATCTAAACAACTACATTCCCAAATAAAAAAGCCTAAAAAGTACATTTTGTTGTCTAAAAACTGTAATATTTGTAACTGTAGCGTCTCTGCTTGTTGCTGGCTGTATGTGGGCGGAGTAATACACAGAGGTGAAGGGTGAAGAGGCCTTTGTGTGATGTTACTGGCAAAATATTGCACGGCTATGAGCCAAACAGATAATATCTGTATATTATATATATCTGCGCAGTTCAAATCGAGCATAAGAATGGGGAAGAAATGTGATTTAAGTGACTTTGAATGTGGCATGGTTGTTGGTGCCAGATGGGCTGGTCTGAGTACTTCAAAAACTACTGAATCTAGTGTGATTTTCACGCACAACAATCTCTAGGGTTTACAGAAAATGGTCCAAAAAAGAGAAAATATCCAGTAAGCGGCATTGATGCCAGAGGTCAGAGGAGAATGGCCAGACTGGTTCAAGCTGATAGAAAGGCAACAGTACTGTAACTCAAATAACGACTTGTTACAACCGAGGTATGCAGAAGAGCATCTCTGAATGCACAACATGTCCAACCTTGAGGCAGATGGGCTACAGCAGCAGAAGACCACACCGAGTGCCACTCCTGTCAGCTAAGAACAGGAAACTGAGGCTACAATTCACACAGGCTCACCAAAATTGGACTAATTGCAAAAACGTTTCCTGGTCTGATGAATCTCAATTTCTGCAGCAGAGTCAGAATTTTGCGTCAACAACATGAAAGCATGGATCCATCCTGCATCCTGCTTTGTATCCACAGTTCAGGCTGGTGGCAGTGTAATGGTTTGGGTGGATATTTTCTTGGCACACTTTAGGCCCTTTAGTTCCAATTGAGCAATGCCACAGCCTGTCTGAGTATTGTTGCTGCCCATGTCCATCCCTTTTTGATCACAGTCTACCCATCTTCTGCTGGCTACTTCCAGTTGGATAATGCACCATGTCATAAAGCGCTAATCATCTTCATCTCAGACCGGTTTCTTGAACATCAGTTCACAGTGCACAGATTTCAATTTGTTTAAAGTTTTAACAGTTTTTAAATTCATAACAGCTTAACCTTTCTCTCCTTTCTCTATACACTTTATGCAGGCATGTTTTTCATGTCATGCTTTTGTTTCAAAAACAATTTCCAAGGTCTAGTTTTATATGAACTTTCAAAGACCACAATGCTTTAAATGGTTGGCTATGCTGAGTGATTAGAGCCAGCACTGAGTGTTCCTCTTAAATGAATTGTTCACTTGAGTTAGACTTGAGAAATACACAAAGGGAAACTACATTGTTTTGGTTCTCCTACGTCTGTTCTCTAAGCAGTGAGGTCCAAGCAAAATTATGCTCCGAATATCTTGCAGTGAATTAGAGGCTAAAACAACTGCCACTAACAGATGGATATTATTTTAAGGATGACCATGTTCCCACCCCACAGCTAGAGTAATTCACCCGTTTGCCTGACAATACCACAAAGAAAGGAAAGGCCAAACATTTACTTTAGCTGTCACATTCAGAGAGGAGCCAGTTAACGCTGGGAACTGCCTGTACTTTTTCTTCGTCGAGGCAATATGAAAATATACTCAACGCATATGTAAACTATGAATGCCTCTGGAGGTGAAAAACATTGTTCTGCATGGAAAACATGGTAAATATGAACAGTGTTTAGCACTTCACACACTCAATTGAAGTACTTTCATGAACAAGTCAATCATTTATTTAGAAAAGTATCTTTATTAGAACGAATAATATAAATAGACAAAATAAAACGTAACATTTGCTAACAATGTTTGGTTTTTGTAAGTTGGCAAAACCTCTTTAGGTTTGCTTTGGGTCTAGAACGTTGTATTCTGCTGTCCGCAAGTGTTTGCACACAGAATTGTCAAATGAATTATACTTAAATACAAAGTTTCTTAGTGAGAAACCAATCCATTTAAGCTTTAAACAGGAGCTCTGTGCCTGGGACAAAAGCGCACGTATAACCGACCTAAAGTCAATGCCCGGCATCCAAAACATCTCCTGGATTGGATGGAATAAGGGCAATTATACAGTTATATACAATGTACAACAGACAGAACATTTAATAAACATCCTATCAGCATAGAAAATAAATAAATATGCTTAGTGCATTTAAAAAAATAACTATAAATTAAAGAGCATACCAAACTCAGTTTGGTCCTACACATTGCTTTTCAAAGTCAAAGACAGTCCAGCTGCCTTGATTTTTGTTGAAGGTTTGGATATGCTTTGCTCAACAGTTTCATTTTAACACAGTTTTACTCAGCATTTCAAGGGAAGCTCTAAACATCTAAAAAGTGAACATTCAAATCCAGTTGGCACAATCCAAAACTCTGCAAGGATATTTCATTTGTTATAAACATTTCAGACTGGTCTGTTTTGCCTTACATTGGAATTCAATCAATTAGGTCAAACTATTCATTAAAAGAATTCGTAAACTAGTGACGCACTAATATTTAATTTTCATTTTTCAACTAAAACCCAGCTCACACTGTGTGATTTTTGAATCCTAAAAGATTTCAATCATGCTAGGCTAAAATCTTTAGTCATTGATTATTATTTTCACTTGTTCACCAACAGCCAATTAATGGCTTATGTAATAAAAATGTTGGCTAGCCTGATCCTGTGAGGAAACGTAACTATCTTAAATGTTGTCAGTTTAGTGGCTAATTTGTAATAATTCATACAATTTCAGTCATACAAAAAACTTTTGGTGACAACCAAATGACACCCCTAAACAGAACCATCATTGAGGGATGAGCAAATAGTACAGAAATGTAAGAATGAGATCGTATAAATTCATATGAATAAGCCACCAAATTGAAAGTTACGAATTTTTGTGAGATAGCATTGTTTTGGCAGTGTCAGCAGATTTGTTACTTACGACGAGCATCAAACCAAGAACCAATAAGAGCACAGGGCCTGATAATACAATCAGCCCAACAACTTTAAGCTAGGGTTATGTTCAGAGTACACTGCTCCAATCTTTCACTCTCACGATTGTACTTAGTAATTGCAGAGAAGACTAATACTGTTGATTAGTTGATACTGTTGGTTAGTTCCTGTTGGTTGTGCACCTTTTTTACCAACAAAGTTTGTTTACGCCAATATAATGACGCCGATCACTCTGCCTATTCTCCAACGGAGAAAAAGGGGATTGACAGGTGGTAATTTGTGTGCTATTTATCTTTATTTCTTCATAATTTGGTCATGGGTTAAGCAAAGACTAAGCGAGTCAGGTAGTTGAAACGGTAGGCTACAAATAATTAATTTGTCATCAATTAATTATTCATAAATAATTTATTCACTGCCCCCTTTGACGAGGATGACCTCGTCCATCACAATGTTTCACTATAGACATTGTACAATGCCAAATTGGTCGACATCGCCCAACCTTACTTTAAGCTATTTGTGAAAATTAAAGACTTAAATTAAAATAAACACTGCAGATATTTTATGTTTTCTCTAGGTTATAATTTAGGGGTGCTTTTACATCTAGACCTGAATGAGGTGGTCTCGGCTCGATTGAAACTAACTCTGGAGCGATCGATTGTAGAGAGAAAGCAAAACGATCCGATCCCGGCTATATCACAGTGTATCATGGATATGTAATATATAAGAAGAGAGAAATATGAGTCAGGCGGGATCTCATTCCTACCGATAAATGTGCGTTTCATGTTAAATACGAAAGTGAAAGCATGCTGAACTATTAATGATAGCTGTTTAGCTGTTAGGAACATTGACCGAACTGCAGTCTAGCCAATGGCTATTTATAAAAAAGTCTTACCTCTGATTTATATCTGGTAACGACATCTGTGGGGCTCACCATTAAAAATTAAAGCGCAGCTTTCCGCTTATAATGTCTTATTGCTCATCGCCATAGATTAAAATAAGGACGCATGACAGCTGAGCGGGACTGCAGAATAAACCATGAAACTCTGACCAATGTAAGGAGAGTTTACTCACACGTGACTTGTTTTAGCTCTATTGATCCGTTTAGAAACTTTGCCGTGTACAAAGAACAAAGAGCAACACTGCAACAATTTTAATCCCTGTTTTGGAACAACTAAATCAATTCACAGGCGTAAAAGCACCCTAAGAGCGCAGGTTATTGAGCTTGTAATGGATTGATGACATCCAACTACACCTGAGTTATGCAAGTGTCTGTGTTTGGCACGTATTGATTTTCAACTGTTTGCACAAGCTACAACCTTATAAGATCATTAAAATGTGCACAGTGTTAGCCAGTCTTAAGGGCACTATTTTGCAGCAAATGCGACATTGCTTTTATATTGATCCTATTACATTTCCAACCAAATTTGGTCATTTAGTTTGTACAGTTTCCTCTGTTGTTTGAGACTCCTGCAATTTGGCAAACTTTGCTGAGACTGTCCAAAAACACTCCACCGTTTTGATTCCCAACAGTCTTTTTGAGAATACTTTTGCCAGTATTGGCCTTAAAAACACACAAATGAGGCCTGAGTCCATTCTAAATCTTCTAGTGCTGGTACTTAAGAGCTTCGATGGCATGATTAGGAAATCATAATGTGCTCTTAAACGTCATCAATATTGAACAAAATCCAAAAGTCAGTGATTCAAAACAAGTGCTCAGTGGTTCATGGTCACTTTGAAAAAGTTTGTATGGATGAAAAAAAATGTGCACAAACGTTTCAGTAGCAAAAAATGTCAAAGTCATTTACTTATTTTAAAACAACCAAAATACGTCTCTTCAACTGCCGGGTCCAGCAGTTGTGCGTTGGATACTTTGACGTAAATTCTATCGTCTTTCTCCAGCCGGACACCTCTGCCCTGCTCCATGCAGTACTTGTTATACTTTTTAATGTTCCACTCCGGCGTCCCGCTGCTTTTTGCAAGGACAGTAGGAGGTTCAGACCGTGAGTGTTTTTCGTGGTAAATGTACTGACCCAGCTCTATGTTGCTGATGTTCACTTTCTCAGAGCTGTGAATCTCATGGTATCGAAAACAGGTCTTGGCGTATACATAGTAGTATCCAGGGGAATCCACTATAATTCGGTTATCTTTATATTTCATCCTCTTCAGATTCTCTGCTTTCATGCCATCCCAGGCTATCTGGGTTAAACCGTTTTCATCTGCAAAAGCATAAGCATATGGGTCAGAATAAACATGATTGTCCAAAATATGGTTATAAATTACATTCAGGGGCGTGACAGTAAACCTAATTTAAACCATTTTTATAGCCTTTAGGTTCAAATGCATTGTTGTTTTAACCACTGCGTTTGTAAAACTTTATTAAAAATTTTGAGTAAATTAAAAAAAATTTATATATATATATATATATATATATATATATATATATATATATATATATATATATATATATATATATATATATATATATATGTTGATTCTTAAAAGGCAACTTTGTGGCTTAGTGGTTAGCACTGTCCCCTCACAGCTTCTGTGTGAAGTTTGCATGTTCTCCCCGTGTTCGCGTGGGTGTAGTGTATGTGTGTGTATGGGTGTTTCTCAGGACTGGGTTGCAACTGGAAGGGCATCCGCTGTGTAAAACATAAGCTGGATAAGTTGGTAGTTCATTCCGCTGTGGCGACACTAGATTAATAAACTAACTAAACCCAAGGAAAATGAATAAATGAATGATCTTAGCATCAGTGCATCACGTGAACAGCTGTTAAATTCTGATCTACTTTCCCGCACTGAGCCAGAAATAAAACGCTTGTCATGAATTACAGTTCATTCATGTTTCCCAACAAATATAATAATGCTGATGCAGTGAGGGTCAACATGGTGGCAGCCGTCACGCATTACAGATCGAATAATATGACCATTATTAAGAGTTAATATTATTAAGCATTAAAAAAATCATCATTTAAATGGCATAAATACACATTCTTACATATATTTGAGAGATCATTCATTAATTTTCCTTCAGCTTAGTGTCTATTTCAAAGACCTCCTCAGCGGAATGAAGCGGCATATGTTTTATGCAGAAAATGCCCTTCAAGCTGCAACCCAGTACTGGTAAACACCCATACACACTCATTTACACACTATAGCCAATTTTGTTTACACAATTTATCTATATTGCATGCTCTTGGACCAGAGCACTTGGAGGAAACCCATGTGAACACGGTGAGAACATGCAAACCACTGAAACCATTGAGGGGCACCAAGTGACCTGGTCTCGAAAAAGAACACAACTTCTGCAGTTTGGCAGTATTTCCGGTTTCGACCGAATGAGAAGGGAGACGTGGTAAATACGAACTATAGTTCTGCATTCTTGCTACTGTGCTGCAGTACCCGACCAGATTTCTTGTGGTGGGGGAATAAATTTCCGAATAAAACGCGAGAACGGTCACATCCGCGTGGATGCTGTTTGTGTGTGTGTGTGTGTGTGTGTGTGTGTGTGTGTGTGTGTGTGTGTGTGTGTGTGTGTGTTTGAATGAGAAAGAGTGTCCCACACAGATCTCTAATACAAACAAGACACACAGGTGACCGCGAACCTAAGGTTGCATATAAGGTACATTTCTGAATGGTTTTGGCACAAGCTAACAGTTTGGTGACACTGTGTGAGCCTTACATCATATTTTTCTTATTATACATGGTATTACCGGATACCGAGGTAAAATAGGGAGGAGGTTTGATGGTATCAAAATTTGGATACCGACCAAGTCTACTAACCACTGAGCCACCATGTCGTCACATCTTTATTTTCACCAATAGAAATTACATCAGATTTTTTTAGGTCACAATTTTTCACTTCAAAAGCATTTCAGGAAATACAACAACCATGTCATGTGATTTAAAAATGTAATATAAATAAAAAAACAGCATTTACTTACTGGGTAATAAGTCTATGGGCGTCTTGATTGGAAGGTGAGCTGATGGCACTTTTTTTGTTTTGTCCTTTGTTGAACTATTCATTTGATCGCCTATTAAAGTTTCACTGTGCATTTCCTGAGGGGGGAATAACACAAAGCAAATGACTGAGTTGATTCTTATGGCCACACAGACAATCACAAAACAAATATGTAATGTTATGAGGAATGAGTCTTTTGGACTAGTGGCAATTCTAAGCAGCTACAGTATGTCACCTCAGATTGTAGCAGAAATGAAAACCAGCTGAGCATGTGCCAAGTGATAGTAACACTTTATTTAGAGGGTGATAAAACAACACAAAACTATAAAGATCAAAGGTTAGTATGTTATATTTAATTTTTCGAGATATTACCATGGTCACACTTTACTTGAAAGTATGTTCATAAGAATGTCATTAAACCTTTAAGTCATGTAATGAATATAAATGAAACTATGTATGCTTATACCAACTGTCACTGAGTGTCATGTTGTGACTAGGGCCAGACAGAATCTTTAAATTTTTGCTATTTCTGTGTAGAATTTTGTAAGAAAAAAATCTGCGGATTTATGTGGAATGATTTTTGGCAGTATCATAACTAAAACCTTAATATATTAAATTAAAAAATAATACATTTTAAACTTGTGTTTAATGTTTAAAATGCAAATACAATTAGATCCACTTATTTGGTAAACAAAGCAAGTCTCTCATAGAGTATATAAAAGACAGAAAATATGACTACACAAACTGTATTGTATAGAAATTATATGAACATTTCATTTCCCAGAGATGAAAAATAAATTTACACACATTTACACAAGTAAATTAATAGACTCAATGATGGGCTAAAAAACCTCTGCGGATTTCTGTGCATAAATACATCACAACCTGTTTTTGTCTTTGTCATGAGAACTTGATATCACTAAAACAACAAAACTTGTCATAAACATGATTGTCAAGAAGCCATCATTAATATATGTCATGAATTTTATAACACCGTCATTATTATATTTTTATGATCTCAACTGAGTGGTACAAGCTAAAATTGTCATTAAATATTAATCACACCGTAAAAAATTATTTGACAGATTAATGACACTTTTAATGAGACATTTTAATGACAGATACAGTTTGTACTGAAAAATACGGAAAAATATTTATGACAATTATAATGACAATCATGTTTATGATAGATTTATGACAAGTTATCTTGGTAATGTCGAATTTTCATGATAAAGATAAAAAACAGGTTGTGTTGTACAGTATTCGTTTATTTCAATTTGTCATAAGAAACAATGTCATGTTTGCATATAAATGACATAACTGAGAAAATGACACTTATGGTATTTTAACAATCTAGACACAAAGAGCTCTATTTTGACAGTCCATGCACAAAACGGAAAGCGCAGGGCGCAAACGCTTTTAGGGCGTGTCAGAATCCATATTTGCTAATTTAAGGACAGAAAAATCCGCTTTGCGCCATGGCGCATGGTCTAAAAGGGTTGAGTTTATTTACTTAATGAGTTATAGGTGTGTTTTGAGATCAAACCAATCAGAGTCCCATCTCCCATTCCCTTCAAGAGCCAGCTGCGTTGCGCCATAAGCACATTTGCTATTTACAGGACGTAAAGTAAGTGGAAGTGGAAAAACTGAGCATTTCACAAGTAAACAGTTAACAGTTTTGTTTTTTTAACAGAAAACAGTTAAACAAGAACCGTGCAAGAATGGGAGATAATTGATCTACTTTCACTTTTGCTCTTGGATAGGGAAACCTTTAAGCACAGACATCAATTACCCTATACATAATTTTGTTTGTTAAGTGCAAATATTTGCTTCAAAACTATTTCTAAAATCAGTTCTAATTTCCAGCAAACGAATAAATAAACAAAAATAACAAAGTTTGTTCAAAAACCTTAGTTATATCCTAAAACACATGCTGTGCCCCATATGGTCTAAAACCTGACAGGTGGACAAATCTAAGCTTGTTTTTAATAAAACAAATATAAATATGGATATAATAAATATTGCTGCTAATAATAATAACATTATACAGAAGCAAATTGTTATGAATGAACTGAAAAAGCCTCCCGAGATGAAGGCAAAAAAACTGTGTTTTTTCATATTTATGTAGGCTAGAAAGTAATATGTTTTGTAATATTTTAATCCTTTATATTTATATCCTATATATATTCTTATTATATCCTATATATAGGCCTATTCTTAATATTTAAATTTTTCATATGTAAAGATATTTGCGTATTGCTCTACATCTTGTGTGTAGGCTTTTAAGCAGTGTGTAAGTGAGGCGCAACTCTGCGCTGGAGTTTAGACCGGGTTTGTTTTGGTCTAAAGAAAAATCTATTATAGTTTCTCAAAATAGCAACGCGCCAGCAATGCAATCAGAACGCCTTCCTTTTTAAACCAGAACACCTATGGGCTTACATATGAGAGCAAATGCATTTGCTATTTAAAGAGCGTAGCGCAACGCCTTTAAAACGACTCTTGCGCCAAGCTGAAACTAGCAAACAAGTATTGCGCCACGCCTTGCGCCACATTGCGCCGGGTGTATGATAGGGCCCCAAATCTAAAGCGATTGGCTCAAAAGCATTCAGAGCATGTGCGAATCCACCAATACGCTTAGCACCCTGGCGCATGGTCTAACAGGGTTGTGCTTTTTTTCCTAATGAGTTCTGGGTGTGTTTTGAGCATAACCTCAAGTTATGTGTTAGTCACATCTCTCAATCCCTTTAAGAGTCAGTTGCATCACATCATGGTGCGTTTGCTATTTACATGACAGACTTTGTAAGGGAAAAAACTGAATGCGTTACTTGAATGCGTTGAATGAGAAGACAGTTAAACAGACTATCTGCAGTGCAAGGATAAATAACAAGCCTCCTTCATTCGGCTTCTTTACTTTACTCTTTTACTTTTGTAAATAAGGAAATGGTATTGTATGCACTCCACTGAAGACAACCATTAGCCTACATATTTAATTTCATTTGTTAAGCGCAAATATTTGGTAGAACTAAATTCAGTTTTAATTTCAAGCAAAAAAATAAATGAATAATAATAAAGATGTGTGGTCAAAAAAGTTATATCCAAACACACATCCTATTCTTATGCCCCATATGGTGATGCATACATCTCCAAAACCCAACAGGCGGACAAATCTAAACTTGTTTTAAGTAAAACAAATATAAATAGTCATATAATAAATATTACTGCTAATAATGATAACATACAAATGCAAATTGTCATGAATAAACTGAAAAGGCACCCAAGGTGAAGAAGGCATGGAGGCAGTGGTTTTTATATTTATGTAGAAAATAATAATGTTTGTAACATTTTAATCAAATATCTTAGATATTTGGGTTTTGCTGCACACCCTGTGTGTATTAAGCAATGTGTAAGTGTTTTGGACTGCATACTGTAGGTGCATAACTAACCTGCTCTGCGCTGGACTTTTGGATTAGCTTTTAGTTGGTCAATGGTGTGGTCTATTTCAATTCCTCAAAATAGCAACGTGCCAACAATGTACCTTAACACACCTCCTTTTTAAACCGGCACACCCATGAGTCTACAAAGTGGCACAAATGAATTTGCTATTTTAAACAACGTGTCGCAAAACGTGAAAATTAGAGTTGCACTGGTCTGAAAATAACAACAATTCACGTCGTACGTGTCCTGCGCCTAATTGCTCCGGGTGCATGATGGAGCCCTTAATGACAGCTGTCATAAGCATGCTTAAAATCATTCACATGTCATGTTTTTAAAGGGTTCATGGCAGTCTTACAAACCCCTCTTCAAGCAAAGCATTGCCAAGGTAATATCTAGGAAAAATCTCTATTGAAATATTAACCTTCTACCTCTATCGTTTTGCATCATTTTATTTTCAGCCATTCTTGCGGAATGTTGTTTTTCAAAGTCGAAGTAGGAAACAATAGTGACCACAAACTGATATTGTTTTGCTTTTTTACACATGCTGGTTATTGGTTGCAACGTAGTAGAACTTGATCTCACAGCTAAAGATAGAATGACAGCATGCGCATTGTTACCTGAAATACATTTCCGTAAAGGCCTAACATTACATTTCTCCACGTTTGCCTGTAATGCTTCTATTTGATCTTGAATGATTTCACAAAAAGCACAAAGTTTACTCTAAATAAAGTTGTTCTCTATATTAGTAAGCAACATTTCTGAACTTCATCCAATGATGTGGATTTGCTTCTGGGAATGTACATCTCACAATATTCATTAATTTTCCTTTGGCTTAGTCCCTTTATGCATCAGGGGTCACTTCAGTGGAATGAACCACCAACTTATCCAACTTAGATCTTTTTACAACTTACATCTTTTTACACAGCGGATGCCCATCCAGTTGCAACCCTGTACTGGGAAACCCCCATATACACTCATTTACACTCATACACTACAGCCAATTTAGTTTATTCAATTCACCTGTACTGCATGTCTTTGGACTGTGAGGAAAACCAAAGCACCCTCATGCAGGCTCAGACCGGCGACCTTCTTGCCGGGAGGCTCAGTGCTAACCACTGAACCACAGGGTCACTCCATCTAACAATATTGCAAATACTGATTCTAGGCCAGGGGTCCTTGTGACCACCGCACTGCATTTTTTGCTCGTCTCACTTGTTAACACACCTGATTTGGACAACCTGTTTTTTTTTTAAGAGAGCTTCAAGAAGTCTTCCAGTTGACATATTCGCTACATAGTGTACACTACTGTCTCCCCTGCACATGGGATTAAGAACCGCTGCCCAAAATGACGAAGTCTGGTTGAGTTGAATGAGTAGTGTATTCTCACCAAGTCCAAGAAACTCTGGTACAAATGTGATTTCTCACCAGACTGTTTACATTAATTTTTGTTTCATCATGGTTTTTTTTTTTTTTTTTTTCATTTGATGTAACCTTTTGTGTATTTGACAGTTAACATGAATGAGGGCTTAGTTTAATATCCACACGCCTCATTGGCTGACAGACGAGTTTCTGTAAGTTTCATTTAATGTCAAAGCTTCAATCTATTTTTAAAGACTCTTAAATCCACTGTTGAAAAGTGAATCTTGATTATTTAATTTGGAGC